ATATAGCAGAGGACATCTTAGCCATGCTCACAAATATTACTATTGGTCAAATGATCTAATACTAAACCAATACAAAATAAGCCAAGGTTTTACGTTGATCCCAACTTTAAACCAAGAAAACTCACACTAGGAGGCTATCCACATTAAACTGGCTAAACCAAGATGAACTAATGCTGCCTGGTATTATGCACAAATTAAAAACAACTTTATTATAGCTATATTGGACTCTGAAGCTGCCATTAGTATAATGACAAAGAGGCTGCTTGACAAATTGGGTTAAGGATTTAAAAAAAGTTAATGACAGTTATTGTAATAGCTACTGGGATGAAAACATGGGCCCTAGGTAGGATTAATTACATAGACATCATAATTCAGGATGCTATTATATCTGGCATCTTCCAAGTCATTAAATCATCAAACAAAACACTGCTACTAGGGCCTGATTGATTCTTGAAAGCTCAAGTCTGACTACACTTTGATGAACAACAGTTGTATCTAAAGACCAGGGCCGAACTATCAAAGTACCTATTTTTAACACTAGCAATGATAATCTCAAGCCCCCAAGATCTAAATTTGTAGATATGAGAAGTAATAGTGATGATACTTTTGCCAAATTTATCTACAAAGACAAAGTATTGAATGAAATCAAAGAGTACAACACCAAAGAATTAGCTACTGAAGAAGTTGGATTGTATAATAACCCATGGGTAGAAACTGAAAGTTCTGCTATATATCTGACTACAATAGAAAAAACACTGACCCAAAATAAAAAACCTCCAGAGCAAACTATCAATAAGCTTCTCAAAGAATTTGTTTAGAAAAGGGACTTGAATGACCAGGATCAAGACCAAGCTAAATGATTTTTTTACCAAAAAAAAGAACTTTACCAAAGACATAAGGGAATTAGACAAAATATAAGTGTTAATATACTAAATTGATACCAGAGATACCCAACCTGTAAATCAGAACCCCTACTATACTGCCTTCAATAAACAAAAGTTCATAGAAAAGGAGTTGAAAGAGATAGAAGAGAAGGGGTTGATTCAACCTTCCAGTAGCCCTAAGCATCTCCAGTAGTTATAGTACCCAAAAAAGGCAGAAAATTAAGTTTTGTGTCAATTATTACTGGTTGAATGCTGTCACATAGAAAGATGCCTACCTGCTTCCCCAAATCAACAACCTACTGAAAGAATTTTGAAATACAAAATGGTTCTCAAGTTTAGACCTAAAGAGTGGCTATTGGCAAGTAAAAATAGATGAAGACGACAAAGAGAAAACCATATTCGTAACCAAGGCAGGACTCTTTGAATTCAACATCATGCCGTTTGGACTGTGCAATACTCCTGCCAACTTTCAAAGATTAAGAGTAGAGGTATACAAATTA